TGCTGTTGTTGTCATTGCTGTTGTTGCTGTGGTTGTTGTCGTTGGTCGTCGTGTTGTTGTTGCGGTTGTGGTTGTTGAGCTCTCGCTTCCGAAGAATCATCAGTGTTGATCCCCTCCTCTGGTAACCTATGCGTTTTTCAATTGAAATGCTCCTCCTGGGGCTCGTGCCCTGTTATTTCACATATGGGAAGATCGTTCTCCTCGAACTGCGTAGATGGGCCCCGAGCTACATCAACGACGGCTCCCGCCTGATACTTCCTCGCAATGTATTGGGGAATCGCGCTCTTGCGCTGGACTTCCTCTCACATTATGTAGGAATCGCGCTCTCGCGTGGGACACCCTCGCAACTGATTCAAACGATGCGCCCTCGGCGCTCAGGAATCACGCTCTCGCTTTGGGCATTATCAAGATTGTTATTGGAAATCGCGCTATCGATTGAGACTTCCTCGCTATGCATGCAGGACCCACGCTTCAGCAACCCGCCTGTTCGACCTGGTTGACTGGGCCCGCCATCCCGACCTGCCCGCTATGGGTCTGCCCGCCCTACCTGCCCGTCTGGTTATACCACTTGTGTTATGCTCCTTGCTCCCCTCCTGCTACTTTCTCTCGTGCTCCATCCTTCTCCCTCCATCTGCCACCCGTCCTCTCTTTCTCTGCTTTAGGGGCTGCAGCGAATGCGCGTGGCAGGTCGGGAATATGCACAAACGAAGACGAGGACGGGTACCGAATTTTTGGGATAGACGCATTGATTGGCACGTGAGCATATAGGAGCGAGCAGGTTTGAAATTATTGTTGCTGATGATGTTGTGGTTGGTGTTGTTGTTGTTGTTGTTAGTAGTAGTAGCGTTGTTGTTGTGGTTGTTGTTGTGGTAGCTGTTGTTGTGGAGGAGGAGGAGGCACTTCTTACGCCTCCGGCTTCCTCAACCTCCTCTTCCACCTCCTTCTCATGCTGCATCCTCCTGCTCTTGCAATTTCCTCCTCCTCCTCATTGTGCCCCTTCCTCCTGCCCCTTCTTGCCTCATCCACCTGCCTCCTCCTACTCCTGCCTCCTTACGCCTCCTCCACCCTCCCTCCTAATCCCTCCCTCCACCTCCAACCTCATCCATATCATCACCGTGCTGCCTCCTCCTGCCTCCTCATCCTTCGCCTCCTTCGCCTCCTGGTCATCCTACCTCTCTCGTCCTCATGCCTCCTTCTCTTGCCCCTCCGCATCCTCGTCCTCACCTATTCCTGCTCCTTCACTTCCTCCTCCTCCTCGTCCTGCCTCCTTCTCCTGCTCCCTCATCCTCATCATCCCGCGTTCTCCTCTCTCTGCCTCTTCCTCCTGGACCTGCGGTCTCCTCGTGTATCATGTATATTCCTGCCTTCTCTTCATCCTGTCTCCTCCTCCTCTTTCTCCTGCCTCCTCCTCAACCTGCTCATGCACGTGCCTTCTCACATGTTTGGTTACTCCTCTTCCTCTGGCCTCGTGCCTTTCTGCCTCCGCCTCCTCCTCCTTCTGCTCCTCCTCTAGCCTCCTTTTCCTGCCTCATCCTGCCTCCTCCGCCTCCTCCTCGTAGTCCGCCTGCTCCTCTTCCTCCTCTTCCTCCCTCTCCTCATCCGGATGCTGCCTCTACCCTCCTCCCCCTCCTGCCTCCTCCTGCTGCTTCCTTGTCCACCTGCTTCCTTTTCATCCTGCCCGCCCCCCCTGTTCCTCGTCCTCCTTCGCATCCTCCTCCTCATCCTTGCCTCCTTCTCCTCCTCTTCTTCTCGCCTCCTCCTCCTCCTCTTCCTGCCTCCGTCGCCTCCTGATCTTCTCCGTCCTCATCCCCATCCTTTTCCTCCCCCGTTCCTTTTCCTTGCGGGCCGGGCGTTTCGGCTATGACGTCCTCACCTCTTATGACCCTGAAGCCTAAACATTGGCAACGGCTTCACAGATAGAGGGCGGGAGGTTTTCAAAATGTTGCTCTCGCCTTAGCACCGCGCACATCGGTTCTAAAACATTGCAAGTGTTTCACGGATTGAGGGCAGCGCCTTGTCAAAATGCGGCTCTCGCCCCAGCGCCGCGCTCATTCGTTCTAAAATTTGTTAGAGCTTCACGGCTTGAGGGCGGCTCCTTTGCAACATGTGGTTCTCGTCCTAGCGCCGCGCACATTCGCTTTCAAACATGTGCAAATGTTCCACGGATTGAGGGCGGGTGGTCTTCGAAATGTGGCTCTCGCCTAAGCGCCGCGTACATTCGCTCTACAAGTTTGCAAGAGCTTCACGGATTGAGGGCGGTCCCTTTGCAGAATGTGACTCTCGCCTGAGCGCCGTGCACATTCGTTTATACAGTTTACAAGAGTTTCACGGACTCCCATGATCAACGTACCAGAAATGGTGTTATGAAAGGTTTCAGGACTATGCGGGTGCAACAGTTATTCTGGTTCGCGGTGTTGAAATCTCGAGAATGGCGTTCTGTCACGCTTCAGGCTCGTCAAGCCGCAACAGTCAGGTTGATCCGTGGCGATGGAACCCCGAGAACGATGTTTTGGTATGCTTCAGAATCTGGAAGCGGTTTTCTTCCGACGAGGCAGTTCCCTCACTGGAGATAAACCGTTGTAGGAGCCTACGAAGAGGGAGCTCAGAGGGAGGGCTGATTCTAACATCGGTGATGACTCTTGGGTTTACACTGGTCCTCCTCCTCCTTGTCCTCCTCCTCCTTCTCCTCCGACTCGTCCTCATCCATTCCTCCTCCTGCCTCCTCCTCCTCCTCCTTCTCGTCCTCCTGCCTTCTCCTCCTCCTCCTCCTCCTGCTCGTTCTTCTCTTCCTGTGCGCGGCGCAAGCTGCTCAAGCGCCCCATTACTGCTGGCCGATGCAGCCAGAGCAAGCCGCTCGTCGGTTCAAGACTCGAGACTTGAACCTACGAATGGCTTCCTCGAGGTTCACTCACAGATGAGGCCCCTGCCAGAGAATTCCTGCTAATTGAAAGCTCAGGAGCCCAAAAGTGATGACCACTACAGGATCTGGATGACCCTTCGAGTTAATGGAGGCAGCAAGGGAAGGGGCCTCCTTTCGAACGTTTCGCTCAATTCACTCGTACACGACGCTCCCTCTCGAGACTTCCTCGCGACTCGGCCTCAGGAGCCGCAAAACCATTTCCGTTGCAGAGTCTGTATGGCCCGCTCGGCTTGCCAACATGGCGCGGGGGTTCCCTAGTGTGGGAGCCACCCGATTTTTTACTCACAAGCGAGGCTCCCGTTCTAGATTTCATATTCTAGCATCAGGAGCCCAAAAATGACAACAACTGCAGGATTTGTTTTCCGGATTGCATGACCCGCTCGGATTGCCAGAAGACTTCCTTGTAATTCGCTAACCGACGAGGCGCCCCCACGAGACTTCCTGCAGTGCAGATTCAGGCCTCACGAGCCTACATACGATTGGGCCCCCATAGGGAGGAAGCTCCCGCAGGAGACTTCTTCGCAACAACTCGCTCGCACACGAGGCGCCCGCTCGAGACTTCCTGCAAATTCAAGCCTCAGGAGCACAAACGTTACGACAAGATCAAGGTCTGTGTCCCGCTCAGATTACCATCATGAAGCGGGGGCCGCAATGGGGAGGGAGCTCCCGCTGGGGACTTCCTCGCAATTCATTCACAGACGAGGCGCCCGCTTTGAGACTTCCTGCAGATTCAGGCCTCAGGTGCTCAAGCGGGACGACGTATACAACTGTGTATGACTGCATGGTACGCCTAAGTGACTAACATGAAGCGGGGGCTCCATAGGGAGGGCGCTCCTCCTTGACACTTCCCCGCAATTCACTCACCGACCAGGCTCCCACTCGAGACTTCCAGGCGCCCAAAACTAACAACAGCTACAAGATCTATATGACCCGCTCGGATTGCTAACATGAAGCAGAGCCCTATTAGGGGGGCGCTCCTGCTAGATGCATCCTTAGTGCTTACTCATGAACGAGGCTCCTGCTCGAGACTTCCTGAAGGTTCAAGTCCCGGAGCCCAACAGTGAAGACAAGTATCATGAAGAAGGGGCCCCTATCAGGAGGGTCCCCTCGCTAGATTTCCTCGCAACTCACTTGCCGACGAGGCGCCCGCTTTGAGAATTCCTGCAGATTCAGGCCTCACGAGCCCAAACGTGACGCCACTCACAAAGCTAGCACAGCATGGGGACCTCATAGGGAGGGAGCTCATGGTAGAGACGTCCTCGCGATTCGCTCACTCACGAGGCGACCAATCGAGCTTTACTGCAGAGTCAAGCCTCAGGAGCACAAACGTCACGTCAGTTACAGGATCTTTATGGCCCTCTCAAAAATACTAACGTGAAGCGGGGGGCCTCCCATAGGGAGAAACCTGCCGCTAGAGACTTCCTCGCAATTCGCTCACAGACGAGGCGCCCGCTTTGAGACTTCCTGCAGATTCAGGACTCAGGGGCACAAGCGTGACGACAAGTACAACATCTGTAAATGCCGCTCTGACTACTCACGTGAAACGTGGGGCGCAAAAAGGCAAAAAACTTCCGCTGGACACTTTCTCGCAATTCTCTCACAAGCGAGGCGCCCGCTTTGAGACTTCCTGCAAGTTCAGGCCTCAGGAGTTAAAAACGCGTAACGACAGATACAAACATGTGTGTGACCCGCTCAGATTACTAATCTGCAGCGGGGGCCCCGCAGGGAGGGAGCTCCCGCCAGAGACTTCCCCACAGTTCACTCACCGACGAGGCTCCCACTCCAGACTTCCTCAAGATAAGTGTGTGAGGGAGTCTGTGAGAGTGTGCGTCAGTATGGGGGGACGCTGATGATAATGTTGGTGATGTTGGCGATGGTGATGGTGGTGATGGTCATGGTGTGATGATGAGTAGTGGTGACGGGGGGTGGTGATGGTAAAGATGATGGGCGTGAAAGAGAGGTGGGGGTGAGGTTCCTGCGCGGGTTGTGTGCAGAGGCAGCAAAATACCCACCGAGCACGTGGGACAATCGAATCCTCCCTCCACCCTCCCTCCCGCCCCCCTCCCCCTTTCGTTCAGGCCTGCTGGCGGCGCCTGGCTGCCGTTCGGCGGAGCGGCGCGCCACCGCCGGCCGAGGGCCTCGCGTGGGGCCAATGGCGTGCGACGAGCTCCCCTCCCTCCTCTCTCCCTCCCTCCCTCCTCCTCCCTCCTCCCTCCCTCCCTCCCTCCCTCCCTCCCTGCCTCCCTCCCTCCCTCCCTTCCTCCCTCCTCCTCCTCCTCCTCCACCTCCTTTCTCCTCCTCCTCCTCCTCCTCCTCCTCCCCCCTCCCTCCCTCCTCCCTCCCTCCTGCCCTGCCTGCCTGCCTGCCTGCCTGCCTGCCTGCCTGCCTGCCTGCCTGCCTGCCTCCTCCCTCCCTCCCTCCCTCCTACCTACTCCTCCCTCATGCCCCTCCTGCCCCCCCTACCCTCGCAGATGCGAGGTGGAGGAGGAGGAGGAGGAGGAGGAGGAGGAGGAGGAGGACGAGGAGGAGGAGGAGGAGAAAGGGGAGAAGGAGGAGGAGGAGGAGGAGGAGGAGGAGGAGGAGGAGGATGGGAGGAGGAGGAGGGGGAGGAGGAAAAGGAGGAGATGGGAGGAGGAGGAGGAGGAGGAGGAGGAGGAGGAGGAGGAGGAGGAGAAGGAGGAGGAGGGAAGGAGTAGGACAAGGAGGACGAGGATGGAGGGATGAGGGAGGACGAGGCGAGGGATGAGGGAGGAGGAAGAGGAGGAAGATGAGGAGGACGAGAGGGAGATACCTCCAGGCAGCTTCTAGGCCGTCTCCTGGTCGGCCGTCGGGCGGCGCAGAACGCGCGGGCTCGCCTGGCGCGAAGCCCGCGCTGGAGGCACACGGCCCTGAGGGGCGCTGGCCCCTCGTTTGCCCAGAATCGGAAAGGAGACCAAGGCGGGCCCCAGAGGTCTCGTTCGCATGTTTGACTGCGTGGGCCTCAAGCAGCGAAGTACACTGCGCTATGGATGTGTGAGGTCTGCGGCGAAATCAGTGTGGTGGAAGCCCAAGTGGTGCAATATGCGTGGTGCAAGCGGTGTGGTGAATGGTATGCGGTGTCAGCTGCGTGGAGTAAGCCATGCTGTGTGAGCTATGTGTGAGCTATGAGGTGCACGCAAAGTGGTGCAAGCTATGCGGTATAAGCAAAAGGGTGAAAGGTACCATGGGGTGCAACCCATTTTGTGCAAGCTATGTGGTACAAGCTATAGCGTGCAAGCTATGTCGTGCAGTTCATCTGGATAATGCTACGTGGTCAACGATAGCTGTGCAATGTATATGTGGCAAATGCAACGAACGTGTGGTATCTTGTGTGGTCGCTTCTGCGTCAGGGCAGGCGCAAACTCTGCAGCCGCTCACGTGGGGCCTGCGAGGGGCCCCTGGGCGAGCACCCAGCGAAACCCCAGCGGACCCAGCCAGCGCACCGGGCGCCCACGAGGCGCCCACAGGCGGGGACCAAGCGAAATCCCTGCCGATGCACCAAACGCACGGGACGCCCACGAGGCGCCCACGATCGGCCACCAACCGGGCACCAGGCGAAACCCCAGTGGAGCCGTCGAGTTCCTGGGACCAGAACGTGCAAGAGCCAGCACTGACTGGGGAAGAAAGGCGAACCCTTGGAACCGAACTGGTTTTGAGTCGGGCCTGTCCTCCTACAGGGGGATTTTGGACAAAAAATGAAACATAGTTTAAATAATACCCCCAAAATTGTCAAAACATGATCAAAACATCGTCCCCAAGAGTATCTTTTAACATATTTTAGAATACTCCTCATGTAGAGTGACAGGCCCGACTTGCAATTAGTTGTCAACCGCCGTCCCTCCTGCATTCGACGCTCCAACTGGGGACGGACAACAAGTTCGATCGCCCCGACCTGCCGCTCGGGCGCCGCTGCTGGCTGGCGGCGGCGGGGGCGGCACAGGGGTCGGCCGCGCCGCTCGCGGTGCCAAGCGGGCGCGCCACGACGGGCCAGGCTCTTTGAACCGGGGCCCACCAAACGGGGGGTGGACCCTGAGTCGGGGAGGCGTAAGACTCGGGTACGGGGGACTCGGGTTGGCCTGGCGGGGGCCATCATAAAAATGACGAGACCCAATCTGAAATTTGACGCAGGCTCCCGCTGCAGACATTCCACGAAAACGGGACCGTCAAAACCTAAGACGCGCTCGTCAAAAAGAAATCGGCAAACCCGAGTTCCGGCTTACTCGAGTCTTACGTTTCCCCGACTGAGGGAGGGGGTGAGTTCGATCCGAAGGTGTATCGAATTTCCGAGAAACGATGTCCCCGGCGCGCCCCGATTGTCGACGCCTCTCGGATTCCGGCGGCGGCCGGAGACCTCGTTTTGCATCGTGTTTCTGCGGTTCGATGCGCCAACGGACCGAACTCACCCCCCCCTGTGGCCCCTCCCCTTTGCGAGGTCCCGACTGAGTTCGGGTGAAGATGAATCGGGGATCTCTGAGGTCCGGCGGCTCTGGAGGATGTCTCGGGCGCCGCGCCCTGCTCACAGCGTTCGGTAACGCTCTGGGAGCGTTCTGGAACGCGCTGGAACGGATTTATCCTCGCCATAGCCCCGTCCGATCCAGGCGTGAATTGGGGAAACGACTGCTGTTGCTACTCCCCAGACATCTCCTGGGGTGCGTTCTGACAAGAATGCTGAGGCAAACCCATTCGTGGCGACGAGGACCTTCCAATGCTGAGGCCCCAGGTATCACAACGCTGGCACGTCTCAAACGAGAGCCCCATCTTTAAACACACAAGGCACGGCCCCGCTCTGTGCTTTTCAAACAATGCGCGCGGCGCTGAACCTGAATCAAAAAACACGTACGGGAAACGACCATCCCTCCATTCGCGTCACGGTTGCAAGCGTTGGACGGAAACGACATTGTTGGCGCTATGGCGAGAGCTGCGTTTTGAAAGCGGCTGGCTCGGCAGTAACTGTTGTGTTTGCTTTCGAAACGCACGCGTTCGGCGCTGAGGCGAAAGTCACGTTCTAAAGACTTCCACTCGCTGTCAATGTGCGTACGTAGATCCTGGAGATGCCAGAAAGGATTCGGGACCCGTAGGTTGAAAGCTGCGCTGCCCAGCAAAAAAAGGGAGGGATGGCGAGCATCCTGCCTGGTCAGGCAAAGAGGAAGAGGAGGAATTGAATGGAATGGAACGGACATTCCGAGCGGTCAAGACAACACAAGCCAGCACGGGAGCGAGAGCGCGTGCCCACGACCCCAAATTTACGACAAGCGTGTAGGCGAGGGGCCACCGGGGTAACCCTGGCAGGTCTCGCGGCCCCTGCGACTGTGGTTCACACCGTGCGGCTGCTGCAAAAAAACTGCGATGATCAGGAGGTGGTGGAGGCGCAGGATGAAGAGGAGCACGGAGAGAGGCGAGGGGCAAGAAGAGACGGACGGAGGCTCCGGGAGGTCCCATGAGGCCTCGAGGGTTCCCGGCGGGAGGAGGGAGGGAGGCGGGGAGCAAGGGGGGAGACGGCGGTGGACGGGCGCCGAAGCCGTCGCATCGCCGACGGTCGTCCCCGCCCTCGTCGTGGTCGTCATCCTCATCCTCCTCGCGCTCCTTGGCCTCGGGCTCGATGTCGTCGCTCTCGTCGTCTTCCTCCTCATCGTGGTCCTCCTCTGTCTTGTGGTCCTCCTGCCTCTCCTCTCCCCTTCTCCTGATGCCTCTTCTCTCCCCTCCTCTTTCCTCAGCTTCTCTCCCTCCCATCCCTGAACATCCACCTCCTCCCCCTCTTCCACCCACTCCTGACCTTCTTATTATCCTACTCCTCCTTGCATTCCAAGGCCGTCGGATCGACAAGCAGCAGCGGACCGCGTCGTGCTTATGCGACCTAGAATAGGAGGCTTCAGGGGAACGACACACTGGAGTAACAAAGAGGGGGCAAGACGGAGAAGGCCACTGTAAAGGAGGTGAGGGATGAGGAGGATGAGGCGAATAATGATGAGCATTGTCAAGAGCGAGGGGTGCTCAGGGTGATGATGAGGTGGCCGAGGAGGAGAAGGAAGAGAAGGAGGAGGAGGACGACGACTAGAGGGGAGGGGGACAGAGGATGGAGGGCAAGCAGTGAGGAGGAGGAGGAGGAGGAGGAGGAGGAGGAGGAGGAGGAGGAGGAGGAGGAGGAGGAGGAGGAGGAGGAAGAGGAGGAGGAGGAGGAGGAGGGAGGAGGAGGAGGAGGAGGAGGCGGAAGATACGAGTTAGCATGAGGAGGATCAGCAGGAGGAGGGTGTAGAGGAGGAGGGTGGGGATAGGGATAAGGAGGACAATGTCTCAGCAAAAACCCTGCCAGGCCAAAATGGTACGTAGGAGGTGACATCTCAGCCCGCCTCATGGGAGCCAAAGTGCGGCAGCAGCGAACAAGACGGCAACACAATACCGTACGACGCCGTGCGGTACGATCGGGAATCGCCAGGAGGATTTTCCCCCACCGCCCAGCACAGGGCCAGGAGAGCCGTGCGAATCCACGAATCCCCCGCCCCGAGGCGCAGCGGCGGTGCCACCCCCCCCCGCCCCCCGCGCGCCGGCCCCCGAGCAGAGGGGCGCGGGAGAGAGCAACAAAAAGTCCTCGCGCAGCATTTGCTGCGACGGACGGCAGCCCGTTCAGGCTCGGGCGGGAACAAGAAGGCCACGGGCCCATCAGGCAAAGTCCCTGCCATCTCTCCCCGCCACTCTCCCTCTCTCCGGCCTCCTCTTGACCCTTTACACGACCCCCCGCCACCCTCCCTCTCTCCTGGCCTCGCTTCGCAGAGCGACACTGATTTTGAGTGACACCGTCCGCCCCCTCTCCAGTCCGTTGCTGTCTCTGTCTCCTCCCCCTTCCCACTCCTCACTGTCCGCGTCTCTCAGCCGTTTCTTCCTCCTGTTCCTCCTGCTCCCCCTTCCTTTTGTCACACCCCGATATTTCCTCACGATTTGGATTCCGGAAGCTTACAATGTGCAACAAATTCACGGATAGAGGGCGGATGGTGTTCAACATGTAGCTCTCGCCACAACGCCGTGCACATGTTACGGGTGGAGGGCGGGTGGTTCTCAAGATATGGTTCCAGACTTAGCACCGCGCACATTCGTCAAAATTTGCAAGACTTTCAAACGTGGTGGG